GGAGGAGAGAGAGAGAGAGGGAGGAGAGAGAGAGAGAGGGAGGAGAGAGAGAGAGAGGGAGGAGAGAGAGAGAGAGGGAGGAGAGAGAGAGAGAGGGAGGAGAGAGAGAGAGAGGGAGGAGAGAGAGAGAGAGGGAGGAGAGAGAGAGAGAGGGAGGAGAGAGAGAGAGAGGGAGGAGAGAGAGAGAGAGGGAGGAGAGAGAGAGAGAGGGAGGAGAGAGAGAGAGAGGGAGGAGAGAGAGAGAGAGGGAGGAGAGAGAGAGAGAGGGAGGAGAGAGAGAGAGAGGGAGGAGAGAGAGAGAGAGGGAGGAGAGAGAGAGAGAGGGAGGAGAGAGAGAGAGAGGGAGGAGAGAGAGAGAGAGGGAGGAGAGAGAGAGAGAGGGAGGAGAGAGAGAGAGAGGGAGGAGAGAGAGAGAGAGGGAGGAGAGAGAGAGAGAGGGAGGAGAGAGAGAGAGAGGGAGGAGAGAGAGAGAGAGGGAGGAGAGAGAGAGAGAGGGAGGAGAGAGAGAGAGAGGGAGGAGAGAGAGAGAGAGGGAGGGAGGAGAGAGAAGGCGAAGAGAGAGGTGGAGAGAGAGGGAGGAGAGTGGGGGAGGGAGAGGTGGGGGAGAGGGGGAGAAGAGAGAGGGAGAAGAGAGAGAGAGAGAGGGAGGAGAGAGAAGGAGGAGAGAGAGGGAGAAGAGAGAGAGAGGAGAGAGAGAAGAGATAGGGAGAAGAGAGAGGGAAGAGAGAAGTGTGAGAAAAGAGAGGAGAGAGGGAGGAGAGAGAAGGAGGAGAGAGAGAGAGAGCGAGAGAGAGCGAGAGAGAGCGAGAGAGAGCGAGAGAGAGCGAGAGAGAGCGAGAGAGAGCGAGAGAGAGCGAGAGAGAGCGAGAGAGAGCGAGAGAGAGCGAGAGAGAGCGAGAGAGAGCGAGAGAGAGCGAGAGAGAGCGAGAGAGAGCGAGAGAGAGCGAGAGAGAGCGAGAGAGAGCGAGAGAGAGCGAGAGAGAGCGAGAGAGAGCGAGAGAGAGCGAGAGAGAGCGAGAGAGAGCGAGAGAGAGCGAGAGAGAGCGAGAGAGAGCGAGAGAGAGCGAGAGAGAGCGAGAGAGAGCGAGAGAGAGCGAGAGAGAGCGAGAGAGAGCGAGAGAGAGCGAGAGAGAGCGAGAGAGAGCGAGAGAGAGCGAGAGAGAGCGAGAGAGAGCGAGAGAGAGCGAGAGAGAGCGAGAGAGAGCGAGAGAGAGCGAGAGAGAGCGAGAGAGAGCGAGAGAGAGCGAGAGAGAGCGAGAGAGAGCGAGAGAGAGCGAGAGAGAGCGAGAGAGAGCGAGAGAGAGCGAGAGAGAGCGAGAGAGAGCGAGAGAGAGCGAGAGAGAGCGAGAGAGAGCGAGAGAGAGCGAGAGAGAGCGAGAGAGAGCGAGAGAGAGCGAGAGAGAGCGAGAGAGAGCGAGAGAGAGCGAGAGAGAGCGAGAGAGAGCGAGAGAGAGCGAGAGAGAGCGAGAGAGAGCGAGAGAGAGCGAGAGAGAGCGAGAGAGAGCGAGAGAGAGCGAGAGAGAGCGAGAGAGAGCGAGAGAGAGCGAGAGAGAGCGAGAGAGAGCGAGAGAGAGCGAGAGAGAGCGAGAGAGAGCGAGAGAGAGCGAGAGAGAGCGAGAGAGAGCGAGAGAGAGCGAGAGAGAGCGAGAGAGAGCGAGAGAGAGCGAGAGAGAGCGAGAGAGAGCGAGAGAGAGCGAGAGAGAGCGAGAGAGAGCGAGAGAGAGCGAGAGAGAGCGAGAGAGAGCGAGAGAGAGCGAGAGAGAGCGAGAGAGAGCGAGAGAGAGCGAGAGAGAGCGAGAGAGAGCGAGAGAGAGCGAGAGAGAGCGAGAGAGAGCGAGAGAGAGCGAGAGAGAGCGAGAGAGAGCGAGAGAGAGCGAGAGAGAGCGAGAGAGAGCGAGAGAGAGCGAGAGAGAGCGAGAGAGAGCGAGAGAGAGCGAGAGAGAGCGAGAGAGAGCGAGAGAGAGCGAGAGAGAGCGAGAGAGAGCGAGAGAGAGCGAGAGAGAGCGAGAGAGAGCGAGAGAGAGCGAGAGAGAGCGAGAGAGAGCGAGAGAGAGCGAGAGAGAGCGAGAGAGAGCGAGAGAGAGCGAGAGAGAGCGAGAGAGAGCGAGAGAGAGCGAGAGAGAGCGAGAGAGAGCGAGAGAGAGCGAGAGAGAGCGAGAGAGAGCGAGAGAGAGCGAGAGAGAGCGAGAGAGAGCGAGAGAGAGCGAGAGAGAGCGAGAGAGAGCGAGAGAGAGCGAGAGAGAGCGAGAGAGAGCGAGAGAGAGCGAGAGAGAGCGAGAGAGAGCGAGAGAGAGCGAGAGAGAGCGAGAGAGAGCGAGAGAGAGCGAGAGAGAGCGAGAGAGAGCGAGAGAGAGCGAGAGAGAGCGAGAGAGAGCGAGAGAGAGCGAGAGAGAGCGAGAGAGAGCGAGAGAGAGCGAGAGAGAGCGAGAGAGAGCGAGAGAGAGCGAGAGAGAGCGAGAGAGAGCGAGAGAGAGCGAGAGAGAGCGAGAGAGAGCGAGAGAGAGCGAGAGAGAGCGAGAGAGAGCGAGAGAGAGCGAGAGAGAGCGAGAGAGAGCGAGAGAGAGCGAGAGAGAGCGAGAGAGAGCGAGAGAGAGCGAGAGAGAGCGAGAGAGAGCGAGAGAGAGCGAGAGAGAGCGAGAGAGAGCGAGAGAGAGCGAGAGAGAGCGAGAGAGAGCGAGAGAGAGCGAGAGAGAGCGAGAGAGAGCGAGAGAGAGCGAGAGAGAGCGAGAGAGAGCGAGAGAGAGCGAGAGAGAGCGAGAGAGAGCGAGAGAGAGCGAGAGAGAGCGAGAGAGAGCGAGAGAGAGCGAGAGAGAGCGAGAGAGAGCGAGAGAGAGCGAGAGAGAGCGAGAGAGAGCGAGAGAGAGCGAGAGAGAGCGAGAGAGAGCGAGAGAGAGCGAGAGAGAGCGAGAGAGAGCGAGAGAGAGCGAGAGAGAGCGAGAGAGAGCGAGAGAGAGCGAGAGAGAGCGAGAGAGAGCGAGAGAGAGCGAGAGAGAGCGAGAGAGAGCGAGAGAGAGCGAGAGAGAGCGAGAGAGAGCGAGAGAGAGCGAGAGAGAGCGAGAGAGAGCGAGAGAGAGCGAGAGAGAGCGAGAGAGAGCGAGAGAGAGCGAGAGAGAGCGAGAGAGAGCGAGAGAGAGCGAGAGAGAGCGAGAGAGAGCGAGAGAGAGCGAGAGAGAGCGAGAGAGAGCGAGAGAGAGCGAGAGAGAGCGAGAGAGAGCGAGAGAGAGCGAGAGAGAGCGAGAGAGAGCGAGAGAGAGCGAGAGAGAGCGAGAGAGAGCGAGAGAGAGCGAGAGAGAGCGAGAGAGAGCGAGAGAGAGCGAGAGAGAGCGAGAGAGAGCGAGAGAGAGCGAGAGAGAGCGAGAGAGAGCGAGAGAGAGCGAGAGAGAGCGAGAGAGAGCGAGAGAGAGCGAGAGAGAGCGAGAGAGAGCGAGAGAGAGCGAGAGAGAGCGAGAGAGAGCGAGAGAGAGCGAGAGAGAGCGAGAGAGAGCGAGAGAGAGCGAGAGAGAGCGAGAGAGAGCGAGAGAGAGCGAGAGAGAGCGAGAGAGAGCGAGAGAGAGCGAGAGAGAGCGAGAGAGAGCGAGAGAGAGCGAGAGAGAGCGAGAGAGAGCGAGAGAGAGCGAGAGAGAGCGAGAGAGAGCGAGAGAGAGCGAGAGAGAGCGAGAGAGAGCGAGAGAGAGCGAGAGAGAGCGAGAGAGAGCGAGAGAGAGCGAGAGAGAGCGAGAGAGAGCGAGAGAGAGCGAGAGAGAGCGAGAGAGAGCGAGAGAGAGCGAGAGAGAGCGAGAGAGAGCGAGAGAGAGCGAGAGAGAGCGAGAGAGAGCGAGAGAGAGCGAGAGAGAGCGAGAGAGAGCGAGAGAGAGCGAGAGAGAGCGAGAGAGAGCGAGAGAGAGCGAGAGAGAGCGAGAGAGAGCGAGAGAGAGCGAGAGAGAGCGAGAGAGAGCGAGAGAGAGCGAGAGAGAGCGAGAGAGAGCGAGAGAGAGCGAGAGAGAGCGAGAGAGAGCGAGAGAGAGCGAGAGAGAGCGAGAGAGAGCGAGAGAGAGCGAGAGAGAGCGAGAGAGAGCGAGAGAGAGCGAGAGAGAGCGAGAGAGAGCGAGAGAGAGCGAGAGAGAGCGAGAGAGAGCGAGAGAGAGCGAGAGAGAGCGAGAGAGAGCGAGAGAGAGCGAGAGAGAGCGAGAGAGAGCGAGAGAGAGCGAGAGAGAGAGAGAGAAGAGATAGGGAGGAGAGAGAGAGAGAGGTGATAGGGAGAAGAGAGAGGGAGGAGAGAAGAGAGAGAGAAAAGAGAGAGAGAAAAGAGAGGAGAGAGAGAGGGAGGAGAGAGAGGGAGAAGAGAGAGAGAGGGAGGAGAGAGAGAAGAGATAGGGAGAAGAGAGAGGGAGGATAGAGAGAAGAGAGAGAGAGGGGGGGGAGAGAAAAGAGATAGAGAAGAAAGGAGAAGTCTCGGAGTCCCTGAAACGTGTCGGCTCTTCTGTGTTGCCGGTTGGGAGCGGGCGGCCTCCCCGGAGTCATTACACGTTGTCAGGATGTGACCGATCTTCTGATGATTACAATCCGGCGCCTCGGCTGTACGTTTCGTTGTCTTCCATGTCTGATGTAAAATACCCTCCATGTGATCTGTAATGATTGGAAGTGTCATTCTGATACTGGAGGTCATAACTGAAAGATTTTGGAGGGGCAAATACTGCTGTCAAGGCTGAGGGGGGCTTCATTGGGGGCACAATGTTATTTGGTTACACGGGGTGTACCGAAACTTTTCATCGCCTAAGGGGGGGGGAGTTCGTGGTGCACGGTTCTGGCTCTGTGCGTCATCCCGCCCAGCTCACTGATTGCCAGGAGCTGAGCGGGACGCTGGCCAGGTCATCAGGATGCCGGCACAGGTTGCTAAGACCCAATGAGATGCAGCCTGAGGCCGCCTCATTATAGGGACAGCCCTGATGTTACACAGTTCAGCATTTGGAGCATTAGCTTTACCCAACCCCAAAAATCTACTTACCCAACACCCCAGGCACGTGGACTGGAACCCCCCTTGTCATGGGGGGCTATAAAAAGTACACTCAGCCTTTTACAGAACACAGTGGCACAGTGGTTAGCGCTTCTGCCTTGCAGCTCTTGGGGTCCCCAGTTCAAATCCTGCTCAGGACACAATCTGCATGGAGTTTGCATGTTCTCCTTGTGCTTGGTGGGTTTTCTTCCAAAAGACATGGTGGAGGGCTACTTGGTTCTGTATGCATATGAGATAGGGGCCTTAGATTGTAGGCTCCTTGAGGGCCCGGTCACACAGTTTGAGCCTGGAACGTACTGGATCGCATAGATCAAGCTGGGCATTCAGCATGCATGTTTTTTGGATCGCACTGCACCGGAACGGAGGGCATTGACATGAATGGCACTGGCACACCCCAGAACGCTGCCCGGCTTGATCTATGCGATCCAGTGCGTTCCGGGCTCGAACCGCACTGGATATGGTGTGACTGGGCCCCCGAGGGCAGGGACTGCTGTCAATGTACACTATGTAATGCGTTACTGCTGTATAAATACCTGTAATACTGGTTACAGTCCAGCAGGTGGCGACAGAACACCATCTGTGCATGTTGCTGCATTGTTACACTTCTAACCTGATCTACATATAGGATGCGACACATTACAAATACTGCCACTCGCAGCGACCAATCAGATTCTTGTGTGTCTCATTTATCCAATCACCTGAAAGAAGAACTGTCTGTGCTTCCTCCAGCCACCTATCAGCTCTAGCTCCTGTCTAGTCCTGTGTAGTTTGATTCAGATTGATTGCTTGTCATCTTGTGTCTCTGGATACCTACAAGCTAACCATAGACAGACAGAGAGATGTCTTCATGGGAATAAGAGGCGGGGCCGGGGAGACACTTCTGTCCTCCCGGGACGGGTCGGCTGTGAGCTGCTCCCATCGGGAAAAAGCTTCTTATTTCCTCTTTTATAAAGTGACACGAAACTCCGGAAATAAATCCTAAAAATATATTCCGGTCCCTGAACTCTGACCCCAATGTATCTTATTTGTGTATCACTCGGCCGTAGATCCTCCAATCACCTCTGTCCTTCCTTCTGGAGGGGGGCTACGTCTGTTCCCCATGGTCCCTGTGGGTGTTGTAAAGTAGTCACCGCTCCAAGCTCCGCCCCCAAGGATAGACTACACTCCCAAAACAAATTAGTAAACTATACGTGAGATTGTAGTCCATCCCGGGAGTGAGGTTTGGAGGGGTGCTAGTGATCTCCTGCAGCCACTTCCTGTCTACATGCACTTCAGCGATGGCTGCACGGCATTTCTCAGGGCGGGTCTCCTGATGGTGACAACAGAGGGCCATGTCTGGGCAATGTGTGTTGGAATGGCCTCTTATAGTCTTCATTGGAAGCCCCTGTGACAGGGTGACAACGCAGGTGAAGGATTGGTAAACAGGGAGAGAGCGTTGTCACCCCATAATAAGGACCTTCATGGCGGGATCACTAGGTATTATTTAAATAAACGCTGAAGATTTAAAATGATTAGGAAAGGTTGTCACTGTCACATCAACATGTTAATCCTTTTATAAGATTTGAAGGATCGCGTTTACATTTGGAAGGTAAGTCACTTCCTGTACAAGTGTCTCGTCTGTTTGCCCGGACATAACGGAGGTGTAAACCCTGAGTGGGCGACATTTAGAATAAATCACACCATAAAGAATCGATGTGCAGTTTTTGTTTTGAATAAAATACTGTTTTTTACCTTTTTCTTTCCATTTCCCACCTCTGTGGCTACAGTGCTGTGGATCTCCTCCAGCCTCTCTCAGCCACTTCCGGTCTGCATGCACTCGCTCCGCCATCAGCTGCACATCATTGCTCTGGAGCGGCTTGTGATAGTGACAACGGTGGACCATACCTGTAATATGGGTATTAACTTGATCGATTGTAGTCACCATAAAGGTTGCATCTGATGGGGTGACAACGCAGGAGCACAATTTGAAGACAGTTGTCACCTAGGCTTGCCACCTGTCCTGGATTCACCTGGACAGAACCCGAATTTCCGTTACGACAACATAGGAGCCATATACAGTGTATACATATAATACTAAAGCTGAGGCTCCTAGATCCCAATGGCATTCAGGATCCGGATTTCCGAATTGCATTGGGGAGCTCCTGAAGGCCATTCAGGTCTGGGAGCCTCAGCTTTAGGCCTCATTCACACAGGAATCGGCCGGCATGCACAGCTCCGTGCTGCGTGCACGGCCATATCGGGCGGCTCCCGGGAAGGACAGGTGCTGCGTGTGATTAGTACTCAGCCCCCGTCCTTCTCTATGGGAGTACGCGGCCATACGCTCCCCCCAAGTGCAGGTCCGTACGGGTGCGGGTGACCGTACTGGTACGCTGACAGGATGGATCCTGTCTGAGCCGGGACACCCGCACCCGTACGGACCTGCACTTGGGGGGAGCGTATGGCCGCGTACTCCCATAGAGAAGGACGGGGGCTGAGTACTAATCACACGCAGCACCTGTCCTTCCCGGGAGCCGCCCGATACGGCCGTGCACGCAGCACGGAGCTGTGCATGCCGGCCGATTCCTGTGTGAATGAGGCCATAATAATATATGTAAATAGCTCCCAGACCCAAATTGCTTTCTGGAGCTCCCCAATGCAATCCAGAATTTTGGATCCAGAATGCCAATCGAATATTCTGGGAGCCTCAGCTTCAGTATTAATATCTGTATTTGGACTTCTGTGGTATTCGCAGCGAATATTCGTAAACTCATCCGAAACCAACGCAAATTCGGATTTCGTCCGAATCCAAAACCCGAACAGAATTTAATTTCGGATCCGAATCCCAAAATAAGGAAATAAAAAAAAAGGGGTTCTCTCCAGGGGATCCGAATTTTTAAAGAAAACACTTCACTAAAGATATAGTGGGCCTATCTACCGTACCCGTGACCCATACTGCATATCAGAAAACGGAAGAGGGTTGGCCATAGGTCTAGCCAAACCAAGAGGTCACTTAATGAGTCGGGACAGAAAAAATGATATATTAAATGTATTTTATTTTTACAAAAATATCAAAACTATCAAAAAGGTACCGTATTTGCCGGCGTATAAGACGGGTTTTTAAACTTAAAAACATCCCCCGAAAGTCTGGGGTTGGCATATACGCCGGGTATGGATGTACATAGTACAAATCTTCCGGGTTCCGTCAGTATACTGCGCTGACCCAATCACGGCAGGCTTTGTATTCATTATTACAAAGCCTGTATTCATGAATGAAAAGTCTGCCGTGATTGGCTCAGCGCGGTATACTGACGGAACCCGGAGGACACATCGGGGATCGCGGACAAGGTAAGAGACTGTAATCCCGAGTGTGGCTCGAGGTTACCGCTTATGGTACTGAAAATTAACCCCGAGCCACACTCGGGAATACCGCCGTGGAGGTTAGTGTGTGTATTCAAACATTATTTTTGGCTATACTCGTCTTATACGACGAGTATAGCCCAAAACCTATATTTTAACATAAAAAGTAGGGGGTCGTCTTATACGCCCAGCCGTCTTATACGCCGGCAAATACGGTAGATATGTCAGCTGCGGAAAATTTCGGTCCGGTTCGGTCCAGGTATTTCCTTATTTTGGAAAACGGAAGAGGGTTGGCCATAGGTCTAGCCAAACCAAGAGGTCACTTAATGAGTCGGGACAGAAAAAATGATATATTAAATGTATTTTATTTTTACAAAAATATCAAAACTATCAAAAGGGTAGATAAAGAGACCGCCGTCCAGTACCTAACGAGTTAAAAAACATACATAGTCTGCAGACTTCAAGACATAGGATGGATGTTCCATGGCCACAGTTGACAAATTGAGTGATGTTATACATTTTATTACGTTCAGTGTTCTCAAAAACGTTTGTTTTGTCCACATACGGGCATAGAGGGCATCTGCCACATGGGAACATGCCCACCGGTCTATTCCTATCAAGGAAGGTAATCTTCGAAGGGTTAGGTTTGTATTCTGAATGAACAAGGGAATCTCTTAGATTCTGTGAACGGCGGGCTGTAAGCAGAGGTCTAGGACCAACAATTTTAGAAAGTGCAGGACATAAATCAAAGACATGCCAGTGTTGTGTTGGTATTCTTCTGAGTCTCTCCCAGCCCCAGCCCTATTTAGTAATCATCCTTAGGCTGGGCACACACCTTACAACCATCGCAAGACTTTTGTCTTGCGATGGTTGTAAGGTACTTAAAAAAACGTACGATCTGCCCATCTTGCATAGGCAGATCGTACTTGCGATGATCGCAAGCCACGCCCCCTGAGGTGCGGGCTTCCGATGACCGCAATGCCGAACGGGCAGTGTGCGCTTGCGCACACCGGCCCGTCCGGCTTTTATCGTACGGACATGCCACAAACCCGCCGAACATCGTACGATGCTCGGCGGGTTTTTGTGCGACCTTACAGTAGTAGAGGTCGCACGGCTTCCACACACCTTACGATTATCGTACGATCGCGGGATTTCCCGCGATTATCGTACGATTATCGTAAGGTGTGTGGGGACCTTTATGTAATTGATTTTTTTTGGGGGGGTACCTCACTACTACTGGTTGTGATCACATCCGCAAAGATATAACGCCATTCTGAATGAAAACAACTCACGTGAGTAACGACTTCAAAAACACACAGGAATTCCTGATGCATTTTTTTTTTTTTTTTGCAATCCTATTGTTCAAATATATCACTTCCGAACGATAAAGCCTTTTAAAAGACTGAGTTCAATATGAAAGAAACACTCTCCACTGTCTGAATCTCATATAACCAAAGTGATCGGCGAACAAAAAGCCACAAGTATGTTTCCTACATAAGTGATACTAATTAACTACCAACAATATGGCTACTAGCTGCAAATATCTCACGGTGATCATATTGCATACAAAAATAAATCTTCCGAATTGGCCTTTTGACGTTAAAGGAGAACTATGGGGTTAAGGCTTTTCCCCATAGTTCTCCTTAGGGTAACGGTGGATCGGAGCGGGGAGGGGGGAATCCAGCCCCTTCCCTGTCCAGACATCCCAACCTGCAAAACCTTATTTCAGGGAGGTTCCCGTCTCTTTTCAGCGAGGTGCCTTTTCTGTTTTTTGGTTGTTTTTTTTACAGCGGCCGTCGTCAGAATATAAAAGAAATAATAATGTCGCTCACCTCCCGATCTACTGAGCCGACCTGTGACAGTCTCATTGTCACAGGTCGGCTAGAACTATGAGGGGAGTGAAAAGAACTCACCTCATAGTTCTCCTTTAAGGAATGAGGAAACATTTCAAGTGGTGTCTACAGACATAAACGTATATGAACTATACCAGTCTTACTACTTTTCTGAAGTGCCTATTAACCGTCTTGATTTGATATCAATCAGCTGTTTTCCTTAAAGGAGAAGTATGAGGTGAGTGATTGTCACTCATCCTCATAGTTCTAGCCGACCTGTGACAATGAGACTGTCAGAGGTCGGCTCAGTAGATCGGGAAGTGAGCGAACACATACCGGCGTTCGCTCACCTCTCGTTCCTGTCACGGCTCTCTGCCGTGACAGGGGAGGGGCTGGATTGCCCCCCTCCCCGATCCTCCAGCGCTGACTGGCGGAACGGACGGGGGAGGGGGCGGGTACAGCTGGCTCCGGCTCTGCCGGGATCCGCTGGGCGGATCCCGGCATAATTGTCGGGATACGCTTCAGCTGCGGCGTCTCAGTATACCGCGAGCTACAGCTCGTGGTATACTGAGCCTAGGGTGACGGCAGGACGCTAGTTTGTATCCTCCCGTTACCCTAAGGAGAACTATGGGGGAAAGACTTAACCCCATAGTTCTCCTTTAACTGCTATTTATTTTGTTGCATTAGACTCATGAATCGGAGTAAGTTAATGACACCATCTATTGCACGGCTACACTGAGTCCCGTTACGCCATTGCACATGAATTCTGATTAATTCTATGTGGAACATCCATCCTATGTCTTGAAGTCTGCAGACTATGTATGTTTTTTAACTCGTTAGGTACTGGACGGCGGTCTCTTTATCTACCTTTTGATAGTTTTGATATTTTTGTTAAAAAAAAAATATATTTAATATATAATTTTTTCTGTCCCGACTCATTAAGTGACCTCTTGGTTTGGCTAGACCTATGGCCAACCCTCTTCCGTTTTCCAAAATAAGGAAATACCTGGACCGAACCGGACCGAATTATTCCGCAGCGGACATGTCTACAAGAAACACAGGAAGTTTGCAGCTGAAAAAGCTGCATGAGCGTCTTTGCCGTGTTTGTGGCACATGCAGCAGCCCTTTGAAATGAATGGGCTGATGTGCGGCAAAGGTGGCAAAAAATGCGTGTGCACGCGTATGATCACGCGCGCTCACGCATCGCACAAATGTGAACGGGGCCTCAGGGTGATTTTTAGGATGTCATCAGAGATGCAGCAAGCTGGGACAGGACGTGTGGACAGAGGGGACACCGGAGGACGAGGGAGAAGCTGTGACGGTGGGGGAAGTGGTAGCTGGTTAGTGTAAGGAGGAAATGTGTGAAGCAACACAGGACGGTTACATCAACTGAGAGAGAGGAAGAGACGCCGGGCGGGGGAGAGCAGAGTGCTGGGCACAGACATCGGGACTATTCACCGACACAAAGTGTATATAACCCATCACATCCAATCAGAATTCACCCATCACTGCCCAACACACGATACAATATGGCGGCAGATAATTGGTGGTATCCAATCCCCCCATGTATGTGGCGATATGGAATATTAAAGTGCTTTGTTCTGTCCAATGGAATTGCACCGTCAGATATCATTTTAAGCCCTCCCCCACCCCCCCATGTACCCAAAATGGCAGCTGGCATTCACTCAGAGGGCACTTTACTAGGTACATCGGTCTCATTTCCACAGAGGGGGGATAATACTCAGACACAATGGGGTATTTCATTCATGCTCATGGTGGTACTAAGGGGCCACCACGATGCCACAACCACCAGCCTGCCCCATTGGCATTGGGTTTCATTCATGCTCATGGTGGTACTAAGGGGCCACCGCGATGCCACAACCACTAGCCTGCACCATCGGCATTGGGTTTCATTCATGCTCATGGTGGTACTAAGGGGCCACCATGATGCCACAACCACCAGCCTGCACCATTGGCATCGGGTTCCGGGCCCTCCATGTGCATCCTCTGCATGTAGCATCAACATTCAAGATCCAGGTAAAGGTTCTCGAATTTTCAGATGTCTACTTTGGCCAATCCGGTGCCCCCTTATAGTCTTATAACTGCCCCCAGGTGACCAGAGGGGGGCCCGGTGGGGTCCTTCCGTCCTAGCCGGTGAGGTTCATGCGTCTATGTCATAGTGAGGTCATTGGAGCAGCTGGCTTCACATTGGCTGTACATTGGCCTGCACGTCTCTGGGCCGCTCTCGGTAACATAACTCCCATCATCCTGAGCTGAGAAAGAAGGACTCCTTTTAGAGTGCGATAGACCCGCCACACGGCCCTACACTTAAAAACTCTGTGAACAAACACAAAAATGAATCCGCAGACGCGAATGATGGTTACGTGCTCTAGATCAGCAGCTCAGGAATGACTGAAGCCATTGGATCAGCATGACAGCCAGGCAATGAGCATTGTTTGCATGAGAGCGGCCACCAGCTCAGGAAGCCCCTTTACGTGACCCAGACATGGGCGCTACATTAACCCTCTGTGGCTGAGCAATAAAAGCGCCATATCTAGGTTAACCCCTCCT